CTATCTCTTAGTTTCAAAATAGTTTAAAAATCATCTCAATCTGATACTTGTAGCTTAAGATATAGTCAAAATATCACAAGGTATCAAAGCTGTGAAACTTGCTTCCTTTTATTCTTGATTGCATTTCTTCTCTTGCATTTCATATTCTTATTTTATAACTTTAGACCATCATCAATCATCCAAATATCTTCTCAAGTCACTCCATTTGATGATTGAATCATTAAACTATAAAATCATAAAGTTTTTACCGTAAAAATCCATATAAATACAATTTTTATCACTTAAACCACAAAATACATATTTTCACTAGAAACTTAGTTAATTAGCTATAAAGCTAATTAAAACACAACCAAACTATCAAACTAACTAATACAACATAGTAAAAAACACTTAAAATATGCACATATCATGTTTTATTTACTTTTATAACTAATTAACTAAATTTCTAGTGAAAATATACATTTTGTGGTTTAAGTGTGAAAAATTGCATTTCTATGGATTTTAATGGTGAAAACTTTATGTTTTTGTATGTTTAATTATTCAATCATCAAATGGAGTGAATTTGAGAAGATAATTGAATGATTATTGATGATTTGAAGTGATAAAAAGAAAACATGAAATGCAAAACATTCAAAAGATTATTGATGATTTGAAGTGATAAAAAGAAAACATGAAATGCAAAACATTCAAAAGATGAAATGCAAGTTTTCCAACTTTGACACCTTATGGTATTTCGACTGTATCTTGAGCTACAAGCATTGAATTGAGATGATTATTAAACTTTGGAAGCTAAGAGATAGATCTATATTGGGTATGAAGACATCGAAGTCTAGTTCAGTTGTTTTCATAGTCAAAAAGTCGAAATGTAGAAGTGCAACTCTGTTATCGAAAACTGAAATAGAGCTTTGACCAGTTGAGAATATTTTGATCATTTCTCGATACACAGAGCTCCAAATTGGATGATTCTTGAGGAATTGGAAAACTAACTCAAAGAGTTACAACTTTCATGTTTGCAAAAGAGTTAGTTTGGTCTTCATCATTAAGAAAATAGGAGTTGAAATGGTGCCAAATTCACGGAAATGAAAACTCGACCCTTGAATACGTGGCTTGAACTCGTATATTCCAAGCTCAGGTATTCCTCAATTTTGGCTGCAACTTACTCTCAACTTATGTTTTGTTCACACAAGCTTTTTGACCCATTTTCCTACAAGAATATTGATGGAAATAGCCCAAAGCAGCTGCAAAAGAAGTTTTACAACTCAAATCTAGCTTGTTTGTGGGCTCAAGAGGAATCTTAATATGATTTAATACTTTGTCTTTTGCATAGAGTTCCTATATAAATAGCAGCCTTGGAGGACATTTTAACAACTTTGGAAGGCTATAGAAACTCCACAAAAATGTAGTCTTCACTAATTTTTCTTATTTCATTAGTTTAGGTAGGTTAGTATAGTTTTATCCTATCTTGTATCATGCTAAGCAAGGATGATGATTGAGGTTTGAAGATGGAGAAGATATTGCTCACATGTGACATTAGATGATTGATGATGTTTTAAAGTGATAAAATGAGAATATGAAGTGCAAGAGGGGAAATACAACTTAGTATACAAGAAGGGAGTTTTTCAGCCTTGACACCTTGTGGTATTTTGGTGATATCTTGAGTTACAAGCATTAGGTTGAGATGATTCGTATACCATTTTAAAGTTAAGAGATAGACCTACATTTGGTATGAGATATCAAAGTTCATTTTAGTCATTTCATTATCAAAAAGTCAAAATATAGAAGTACAATTTTGTTGTCGAAAACTGAAACAGAGTTTTGACTAGCAGAGGGTATTTTGGTCATTGCTCAGCCCATAGAGCTCCAAAATGGATGATTTTTATGCATTGAAAAGTTAACTCAAAGCGCTACAACTTTTATGTTTTGTACAAGAGTTAGTTCAACCTCTATCATCAAGAAAATATCAGGGGACATCGGTACAAATAGAGCAATGATGAATACTGACCAAAATTGAGCAAACCTGCAAAAAGGCAAAACGATGGGGTACAATACGCGACCTTAGGTTGCATTTTTGAGGTTGCATATTGTTCAATTTCGGCTGCAATTTATTTTGCAACTTGTGCTTTATTCACACAAATTTTTTGACCCATTTTTCTGCAAGAATTTTGATGGAAACAGACTAGGATAGCTGCCAAAGAAACTTTACAACTCAAATCTAACTTGTTCATGAGTTCAAGGAGAATCTTAACATGATTTAACACTTTGCCTTTTGCTTGAATTCCTCTATAAATAGAGGCCTTTGGAGAGCATTTTTGATAACTTGGAGAGCATTTTTTATAACTTTGGAAGGCTAGAGAAACTCCACAAAAATGTAGTCTTTACTAGAATTTTCTTGGTTTATTAATTAGGGTGGATTAGTATGGTTATTTTAGTTTATCCTTCTTGTATTTGTAATTAGATTTGGATGAAAATTTGAGGGGCAAAACTGGAGAGTTGAATCACATGTGACAATGGTGACTTCTCTCCTATCACTTTTTCTTTTGTATTTGATTTCATGTTTAGCTATAATATAAGTTTGGATCTTGTTCTTCATGTTTAGTTAAAGTTTATGCCTAGAGTATGGATGAACTTGCTATGTCTTGTTAGTGATACTTGGTTATTTGATGATATTATTTTGAGTAAGTTATTTATCACTTTTGCTTTTCTAATCATGATTAATCACCCATTAATTATGATAATCTGAAGGTGTTAAGTTTGCAATGAGAATTGGAATTTAACACTAGTTCAAGGAAGTGATAAACCTAGGTAATACACTCATAAGAGTAGAGGTGCACTTTTGTGATTTTGGTGACTTATTTCATATAATTTCATAGAAGAAATGAGTTTGTAACTAATTTTATAACTACAAGAGTAGGTATGGTTTTGCTGTAAGTATAGTTGATTCACTACGAGAGTGGATTTCACATACATTAGGAAATTATGGCATAACTAGTATACTTGTGAAAAATTACTTGTGGATATTTAGAAATTTATAAATGTAAAACCTGACTGTAGATGAGCTAATTGTTATATGTATATATCCCGTATATGTCTCTTTTGTAACTTGATTTTCTTTGTCCAGCCTTTTCAAGAAATACAAGAATATGTGTAATGTTAGTCATCAGGATTCTGAACCTGATTTTTAGCATGTTCACTTAATGCAATTCATTTGTGAGAAAGTATAGTGCACATCATTTATTTTTTTTTCTTTTCTAGAAATATAGATGGATTGAAGTTCTTTATGGCTGCCGAGTTGGATAGTTTGCATGGAAATTTAGTTGAAAGTTCTGAATATGATAAAGGAGAGCAATCATGTGTGTCTGCATTTTGGAGATCACAGTTTCTTAACAATGTATTGAGAATACATTGCAAACGCTATCTTTGAATACTAAGATAAGGTAGCAACGGACAAACTCAAGTTGTTGGGTAGAGAAAGGACAACATTTTGTGTAGAAAAAAAGGTTCTGCAGGCGCACTTTTAAAAAAAAAAAAAAATCTCCCCTGCCGAGTAGAGTAAGCCCCGTAGGAGACAAATTTTTGAAAAAAAAAAGAAGAAAAAGGCTTTATGGTTGCTTTATAAAAGAATCGCCTATACCGGGCTGATGTAGCCCGACAGGGACAACATTTGAAAAAAAAAATTTGTCGGACTTTTTTTTGCAGTGTTTAACTTAAAAAAAGAATACTTCTCCTGCCATGTTGATTAAGCATGGTAGGCAGAGTTCTGGATATCCTCTCTATCAAATCAACAATTGATCGATTTTTTATTTTTTCAATGATAATCTAAGAAATTAGCCATGAAAGCACCATAAATTTGACAACATTTTTCTAAGCTGAAACCTTTCACTCCAAGCGATTAAAAGAGATTGGATCGTACAATAAATCAATATTGACTTGTCAATTATTCATTATCACTTCCTTGCCCTTTAATTGGCCATCATCAGAAGAATATAACCCTTTACTTGACTAAAAATGAGTGACATTTTCTCCAGCTAAATCGTTCCTAGTCTCTGAACTTTTGGAATAAAAAACTTTGCAGCTTAGTTAGAGCGATTATACATGATAATTCCCAGTTGGCCAATCCATAATCGAAATTTTCTTTAACTTCATTTTCTAATAGTGTTATACATTTTGATATATCTAAACATAATTATGTTATTTTAAAGAAGAAGATTTATAAATTTTTTATATATTGATGATAAATTTGATATATTGAGAATGAGTTTTATATATTGCTGATAAATGTCTTCAACGTTATATAATTTTTTTCGATCGCATTTTAATTTTATGTATGTATTTTCGAAACGTTGGTAGCCATTTCTGAGATTGTGTTGATTTCTATTAATTTGTTAGAGTAACTCATCTAAATAATATGAAGAAATTCGGAAGAAAATACTGAAGTTGATCATGATTTAGAAAAGTTGAGAATTAGTAGTAATAAAAGTCTAAAAGGTCTCTAGAATTGCTATTTGCCTTGTCTTCAGATTTTGCTAAATCTAATTATGGAAAATGATTATAGAGAATCAGCAAAAACTAATTTTTAGATGAGTATGGATTTTTGTGTGTTTTTTTTGTTATAGTAAAATCTAAAATTTGAATACAAAAGTAAATGAGAACCTCTCAAAAATGAATTATTTTATAATCACAATCTGTACTCAACTAAAATAATAAACTGAAAACAAGCGCTAATAGGGCTGAAGCTAACTTTCGTGGAGCATAAGTGGATACATTTTATCTACCCATACATTACCAAGTCAAAAACCGATGGCAACCACTGACAGAAAGCAAGGGCTGCTTTAACATGATAGAATGAACACATTTTTCCCTAGAAAATTTCCCGAGAAAATTTTCTACATTTTTTGTGAAAATTTTTTTTATTTATTTTTTTATCTTACATACATCAAATCGTTACAGTACATTTTTCTACAAAAGTAAAAAAAAAAAAAACAAGCTAAACAAGGCCAAAGTTATTAGAATACAAATCAGATTTTATATTATAACTCACTGTATAGGCATACAAGGGTTCACTCTCAACTGAATCCGCATATATACTTATTGGCTTGAAAAATAAAATGCGGTCAGGCGCAAGAGAATGGCAGCTGCAATAGCACTAGTGACAATTGGGGAGAAGGAACGTGGTGCTGCAATGAGCTGAGACCTTCCTCTGCTCCCCTTTTTAATCTGAATCAGCTTATCATAGACACACCATGGGAAACTAATGTAGTGAGCCCGGTTCAGTCCCGCGTTGCAGCGACCCCAGTAATCAGGATGATAAGTGACATGGTACCATGCTGATGCTTTTGCGTATGCATCATCAGAGTGACCAACATTCCTGTCGAACCAGGACCTAGCTTCCTTCATTAAGGATGTCACGGCCATTCCAACAGCTTCTGCATCATTTCTCCGGTCCAAAGATTTTGACACCCACATCATACCACCACTCAATATTTCTGCTTCAGTTTTTTTGCTATAGTAGTCCATCAAATTACCCAATTTATAATCATACTCACTTTTGTAAACAAGAGCTTCATCAACATAATCCTCAACTCCATCTACTTCCATATCAGCATCAAATGATCTTCTTGCCACTTCCCTCGTAAATGATTCAATAGAGCTTGTGAATGGTGCCTTTGGTGCCTTTTCTTTGACCTCTCGGAAAAGCTTTCCAATCACATTCTGCGACTCATACGTTTGCCTCTCAGGCTTTTCCATGAAATCAGGAAATTTTCTGACACGTAGATGAGATGGTATCTCAGCAGGAACTCCAGTCTTTGGATAGTCAACTGCAATCGAGTGGAGCATCGCAAGCTTTAGACATGGTTTACTCCTGGCCTTTTGTGGTTGCAGATCAGCAAAGGCAGTATGGGCATGTGAAATGGTTCCCAAAGTGTCATTCATGATGTAGTCGGCGAAATACTCTTCAACTTCCTGCAACAGAGAAGCTTAAGTCGTTTATTCCGAGAATTGTACAGATAGCGAATAAAGCAAGATGATGAACCACAACTAGACGTCAATCATGAACCACAACTGCTCTGATAATTAGTCACTAGACAGAGATTAAAAGTAGAAAGTAGAAGGCAGGTTCCTTTCCTACTCATCAAGCTGTGGCTTCAATAATCCAACTCCCCTTCCCAATGGAAATAGCTATTAAAAAATTAAGTTCTGCTACACCATTTTTGTATTAAAGTATTAGTACCTCAATTATAACTTCATGATCCAACTGCATTGGACGTACAGGAGTGTAATCCATAGGTTCGTCCTGCCGAGGTGGAATCAGGTCAGCATCCCAACCAACAAAGTAAATGTCTCCATCCAAATCGCTTCCAGAGCATTCATTTGGATGAGGCCTGTAATTGACATCAGAATCAGAAAGAAACATTGAGAAACCATGATATCAATCACACTAGCTATATCCTACATAATGATTTCAATTAGTTGGTCTCTAGAAGCTTAAAACATAGGAGTCCCTTGTTTATCCAAAGTGAGCTTTACTAAGCACATTAGATATCATAGTGAACCCTTAAATTCAATCATTTGCTTCTAGGGAAGATATCCTGACCCATGTTACCCATCTTCTATTTGCATTTCATGCAAGAAAATGTAAACTGCTCTTTCGTACCAGTAACTAGGCAAAATAAGAGAAGAATCTCTTTTTACTTCAAATCCTGTTTGACTTATATGTTATTAATTAAAGAACAGAAGAAGAATATCAATTAACAGTTCTCACAGAAACAAAAGAGACTAATGGATCTTAGGCTACCTGTATATTTCCAATTCATCTTCAAGAATCTAATCTCAATTCCAGAAACTTCAACATTCTCTGTATGAGTTACACATAAACCATATAAAAGATCTCAAAACAATATTTACCTCTTTCCTTTCTGGGGGAAGACAATACAGTCCACCATATGATGTAATTCTGGCACATCAACAGCTTCTAGAATACGGATGTCACCAGGGTGCAAGCACGGATTTTTTGCAACCGCCACCTTCTCCTCAAGAATAATATTGTGCTTAGAATACGGGATAGAATCATCATAAAACTGCCCACGCCCAGCACCAGAGAACTGAACAAACACTTGGCCATATTCCAAGGTTCTGGTTTCATCCAGACATCCCATCATTAATCTTCCATTCGGTATAAATATCCTTGTTTTAGTCCGCAAGTCCAGCAGTTTCGATGCCCGGAAAGCTTGCAGCATCATTGAAAGAAATGGTTCAGAATCAGGCTTATAGCCACATTTCAGCATCTCCTTGAGAACATTTGAGATCTGTCCAGGAGCCATTAATTTTAAAGCCTCATGTGCCTTCGCTGGATCAGTTAGAATAGTGTCCAACTGGGCAACTGCTTCTCTCTGCTTCTTTTCAAATACAACATCCTCGACCCCCAGGGTAGACAAAAGAGTAATTATCTGGCGATTGAGGAAACAAGGCTGGTATTTACTAAACTGTAAAACATCCAACTTGGTGTTATTGGATTCATATTTCTTCATGCTCAGTCTCAGCGACAACTTCTTTGATGAAGTCGGATCAACAGCCACAACACCTTTAAAGCCACCATACCGAATTTGAAAAGCAGACGGAGTGGAGCTTAGGCCATATTTCGTGGCAACTTGCCTTGCAAATTGAGCAGAGATTTTCCCAATGCCATCAGAGAAGACATACTCGACTGTAGAGCGGTAAGCATCTCTTACCTTTATGTCAGGAATTGTTTCAATCTCATTGTTACCAACATTTAGTGTTTCCCTGGAAGAACCGAAAGATTGACCAAGCCTGGCAGCATGTTTCGCCACATTTCTTATCTCACTAAAATCACCCATCCATCTTCTTATATCAGCAGCAGTAAGATCGGGTCTCGAAGCAAACATCCATACTGAATTTTCCTTTAATTGACTTGAAGAATAGGCAAGGAATTGAAACTCTTTATCCCCAATAACTATGCCATTTTTTAGTGTTGACAGTATTCTCTCGTAAATTTCCGTCCTTCCATTCTCATTTGCACCTTTACGAGGTGACAAGTCTGATGGAAACATCTTATTCCGCTCTTCATCAGTAAACGAAACAATAAGAAAATTGTCAATGTACTCTGAAAAGTGGCGCAATACACGATTAGATACAATGACCTCTGGACCACAGAAATACACCTTGCATGGTGTAACTTGCACTCTCCGGACATCTACCAATCTATCTGCCAAAGTACGAGTACGTGATTTGGGGAGTCGCCGGAGCTTGTCATACTTATCATACTGCTCCTTGAGCCACTGCACCGGCTCATAGCAGCACTCTTTCAATGTGTGTAGCTTCTCTAGGGCATGTTCTATGTATTTGACATCTATTCTTTGTGGATCAACAAGCCCGAAGAAATTAGCATCTAGTGATGGCCCTGGAAGACATCCGGTCTGTACTAAACAACAGACCTGGAACAAGATTTCATATGGCACATATAGTCCTTGGGGGGGACGCAGAATAGGAACTAAAACCAAATTGTCTGAATAGGGGAAACCATTTTCCAGCATAAATTGACTGTCACTTTCTTTGTACCAAGGAAAATAATCACCTAAATTTGGCAGTTGAATACCAGGAGGAAGCTTCAAGCATATGCCAGACGATTGCCCAATGCAAGATGAAGTGAAATCTGTCGTCCTGACCCACTGGTCATATGGAGTTTCCTTAAAGTAGCGATAGGGGGATTCTTCAAGTTTTTTGGAAATCCGAGGAGCACCAGATAACTAAGTCATAAGTGTGCATGTCAATATTCAAACTCATAAACAATAATTTCACATCAATATGGTAACAGAAACTCATTTGTAAAACAAAACAAAGAGTGGAAAAAATGCATGCTGGTTATTTGCCATATGACTTTCGTATTTTGGATGCGTTTCAGAGTTCAAATCATGGTTAATACTGGCAGCAAAAAGGGTTGATCCAAAAGGCCTTCAAAAGAGGTACTGAAGACATAAAAATATGTTCACGTGACAGTGAGAAAGAAAAGAAATATGGCTAAGCTGTTTGCAGGCTTAAATGAATTATGTTCCAGATGATCCCTGCAAATGATCAACTGCAGTTTGAGAGAGGAGAGAGAAAATAAGTTACAGCATTGAAATATAATAACAGCAGAACCATTTTTTTTTTCTCACACAAGTGTTGCAACCCATTATTTCTCACACCTAATGCATCTATCTATCCATATGTATCTATCTATCCAATTTAGAAAGAGACGATTTTTCATGTGGCACCTAATGGAGTTTCAATATACAAAAAGTTGTGACACATTTATAACTAAAATATCAATATTAAACTGAAAAAAAAAAAAGAAAATCTAAAATTGCACCGTATAAACCATTATTATCATTAATAGCAACCCCTCAAAACAAATAAAACTGAAAAAAATTGAAAACTATTCATAAAATGATATAAAGTGAATAACAAATGAATTAAAAAGTTAGAAATACAATTCAAAGAATACCAAAGATAACATCCAATCACTAATATCCAGAGGAAGATAAACATTTTTATTGGCAACAATATAGTAATACTTTATTTATATTGGTTTGAGCAAACCAAATCCATCCATCAACCCATGTAGAAGCCATCTCCAATGACAAAATAACAATTATAATAAGAGTAACCTTAAAATGAAGAATGATATATAAATTATTTTTAATGGTGTTCAAAATACTATTATTTTTCTAATGATTACATATATTTATTGTATTAGTGAATAATGTTTGCGGTTATGGAATGAAAAGCTTTAAAATAAAGTAAATTTCATTTATGGTAACAAATGTAATTAAACAAATTTAGTGCATTTTGATAATTGACAATAATGGTAGCAGTTATGGATATTAAAAGCTGGCAACTGAAAATATAAGACACTGCAATATACCAAATTTTGATATTAAAATTGTTAATTAGTCACAATTTTCGTTCCAATTCAATGATCATCAAAAAACACTGATATTGAAACCAAAAATACTGTGCTCATATGAAAAAAGTAGACTTTCTTTGCATTGGATTGTGCTAAAAGTTATGAATAAAAGAAAATAAAAATGGAAAAAATTCAAATATCTTTATCTACGGAATTTCAATTGTCAGAAAGTACAAGCCAAAAAAAGCTTTATATAGTGGATCATTTATACTCCATTATTGACAAAAATAGCAATAAAAAGAATACAAAGAATTCAAGTTACATGTATGTTTATTTTTCTGGTTTAATTATATTCTTCGTTTATAAAAAATTGTAATGATTGTGGTTTATATGTAATAAAATCATGAATATACAATAATTTTGGTAAAACATGATATTAACAATATTTGATATGTTATAGAGTTCAAGGTATAAATCAAACAATGTTTGGTTCATGATTCCAAATTTAATTTTAAAGGACATGTTAACTGCATTGGAATGTTTCTATCTCTTTCCATTTGATAAAATTTTTAAAAGTAACTGGCTAAAGAAAATAAATAACATGAAAATACAATATTATGAGATCATGGAGGTATAAAAAAGGTGTTCTTCACCTAATACAGATAAATTGGCTGATGGTTGAGTTGTTGGGTGAAATTTAAGGCAACACAAATGTAACTTGGACAAAAAGGAACCTGGAAGAGATTACAACTAAGTGTTTAGAAATGTAATGCAAGGCCAACTATTATTGCTGTCACACATTTTTGACAGCCAAACTACCATGTCAAGGCAGAAGGATACTCTAGAGATATGCAGTGAAACGTAGGCCAAAAATTATGGAAGCAAAAGGGATCAAAGATGTAGAACCAACAGGACACATCAAATCTTTTATTTGAACGACCAAACCTGTATGAGGAGAAATTCTGCTGCTTGACCACCTCGATGCAGTACAATCTGCCATATGTTTTCACGGGATAATTCAAGCTTGTAGTCATGAGAGTGAAACTGCAAAATAAAATACATTCTCTTCATTCCAATTCCGAATCTAACTGAAACATTTGCCACATTCCATAGCACTGAAAACCTATTCTCTGACACCGGACACCCAAAGTTCAAATCTATTTGCTCCATGTGATGCTCATAGGTTATAGGCCACGGAAACCAATCTTTGTCGTCTTCTGAAGCCCTCAAATATGAAGAACCATAACAAAGGCGTTCCTTTGGCAATGCCATAATGCATTCAGCGCTCCTCTCATCTGTGAATTGGACCCTAGCATTTGATCTAGGTCCTCCTCGTTTGGGCTGCTTAACCTCTAAAGCATATACTGTTCCCTGACCTGTGAATCCTTCCAAAAACTCGACTACTTCTGCAGCCACGACATCAAGGAAACCAAAAATATGAATCGTCTTTCCCATGCAGCTGAACTTTACTGCCAATTCTATTAACAGAATTTTGTATCAGAATGCTCCTGTAAAGGTCAGAGCATGAAAGAGTCAGACAACTATTGATTGGTTATTTATAAGATTGCTAATCGACAGACAGAGGAGATGTAATAGCACGAAAAGGACAAGAAAATACACACATCCAAGGTACATTTTGACATTACCGCCTCTATTTTAGTTAATCTGAGAGGCTAAGACAGTTCATTTTGACAGAATATTTCTTCTTTTTCATTCCACTGCCCTACTTTCTTTAAGTCATGCTTGGATCCCCTAGAATCCAATACAACTCAGAGACCATACCAGCATAACGGACCTAATAGAACCTTAAAGTTCTAAGAAAATGCTTCCCGTTTCTTTCCCTCCAAATCTAAGAAACTGGAAAAAAAAAAAAGGCTGCAATAGAAGCATATAAACAAAGGGGAAAAAGAGAATTTTTTACTCCCTTACCAGCATGCAGATGCAGCAAATTTGCGAATCCACTACATATTAAAACAGTGAACAAAATAACAAGTCACAGATCACGCCATCATATTATATGTAACAAAGAACTTTCCAGTCAAGACTCAAGACAGAGGCATGAAGGGATCAAATACTAATCCAATATGATAAACAATAAATCTTACTTTACTTGAGACCAAATCTCCAAAATGTTAGAGAAACGATGAAATAAAAACAGGATTACATAACATGTATTCTCTTGTGTCTTCATTTTCGCCGGATCCTAAGCTACGTGTAACCTTGGAACAACGTTTTTTTCTTTTTTCAGATAGAGCCACTCCAATAGCAACATTTCTGACCAACTGTCTAGTGGGATTTCAGACCAAATAATAATAATAATAATAATAATGGCACAAGAAAAAGGAATCAATGAGAAAACTCATTAAAAAATTTCCAAATTATGCACTAAAATCCAAACCAAACGGATTCCAACAAAGGATGATATAGTGTACATTGACTACCAGAAGTTATCGAACGTGGTAAATAACTAACATCCCTGGCAAGAAATAGGTAGAAATCAAAGTCAAAATACTTTGCTTATCTCAAGAGTGCTCTTGCTCTAATAGCATATAAATGCGAAATCCAATATATTAAGAAAGCATCTCCTGTCAACCAAAAAACAATGGCAAGATCAAAATGCAACTCCTCTGATTCTGTAATGCCCACTTCGGAGTGTTCCCTTGTCTCTTTCTTTCTTCCTTCCCTTGCATTGTACCCAAAAAAAAAAAATCATTCTACAGCTTATAAACAAGATTAAAAAGCAGAAAATTTCTTCCAGAATTCAACTAAAACTACTAATTCCCATCAATAAAACCACAGAAAAGATAGGTATCTCCACTTCTATAACAACATATGCCACCAACTGCCAAAAGGGAGCTTCACGGGGGTTTTAAAGAAAAAGTATCCCAGAAGAACACTGATCATTCCAAATAATGCATTAAACATTAAGCAGAAATAATCCCACAAAAAACACACCTTATCAGAGATTACAGACTTACAATACAAAAGAGCCTTATCAAAATAAATCCAAGAGGGTCACTTTCTATCTCTATACGAAAGGGAAAGAGAAGGAAAGACTCACAAATCCAAGAGGAGGTATCACGCCCAGGTTGAAGGCCTGAAGCAAAGTGATGGTATCACAAGATGAAGCTCTCTGTTAATAATATATAGACTTTAAATATCCTTAGCGTGTGTTGTGCATGAGAGAAAAACTGTGACAAAGAATGATGGAGTCAATCCCAAGTAAATCATTCTCCACAAACAAAATAAAGAATGTCACTTTCTCCACTTTATTTTGATTGGCTAATTTCAAGGGACTCACTGTACACTAGGAATACCGTTGTTTGTGTAGTTCTACTGAAGTTGAGTAGGGTAAGCTACAAATTTTTTTAATTTTTTTTCTTTTTTAAACCGGGAAAGGTGAGATTTAAGAAGTAATAAATGAAAAAGAATTAGAAACAGACCCCTCAATCTTGCAACCTTAACCTAAGTAAGGTATAGGTGTTATAGGTGTTCAATTTTTACTTATTATTGGAATACAATGTTTTTTTTTGGGGGGGGGGTTCTTTCTATAGCAGCAACAACCATTTTAGTGTAACTTGATTTTATACAAAGGAAAATTAGGTGGAGTTATAGCCCATTTCTAATTAAAATTATTCAAGTGATGATTTTTTTTTTGTAATATCCCAATTTATCGATATATTCAAATTCCCATATACGAGCAGAAAATTTTTACTTCCTCTTCCTTAAATAACTCCCTTTAATTATTTTCACCTGATTTTGTGTTCTAATTTTAGATAATTAATTTTTTAATATTCTTATTCTCTTTTGCATCTACAATTTAGATCTCATAAAAGCTAAAATATAAAATCTACCTAAATCTCTATAATCACTTTTGATAATTTGTTTTTGTAAATTTTAGGGCAAATCAAAACAGACCTTGTCTATGGTTGATGTACTAATAAGCTAAGATAGGTTTAGAGGATATCAAAGTATTGTACCTTGTGCATCACAAAATTTAATTCTTTATCATAAAAGTTAATTCCTTCTCTAATTAGGTCTATTTCTCTTTTTTTTTTTAAAAAAAAAGGGGATCCAAAGTAGAATATGTATCAATTTTTTTCCTAGTATGGGATTGATGAGTTTTAAGAAACGGGGAGGGAATTAGGGGTAAGATATGTATCAATAAACTTCTATATACTTGCATGAGTATCTTATTCAGTAATTTTTTTATATTTGTAATATTTATACTAAAGTAGAACACTAGAACTGCATAACATAATTGCCCCTACTCTCTAAGTGGGTTCTCTTTTTCATTAGACGTAATAGTAGCATAAGAATTGCAGTTAAAATGATTAATTGTTTGGACTTCACTTTTAGACTGAAATGAAAATGAATTCAGTCAAATACCCATACTTTTGTTTTAAGAAGTTATTATAGACAAAATTTGAGAAAAACCTGTTTACTAAAAACTAGTAAAAATCGGGGCTTCCAAACAGACCCTATCTTCCATGTGGGTCCCGTCCCATTCTTTAGTTAAACGCTTGGTACTTTACTAAGCTGTAATGCTAAGAAAGTAAAAGTAGTTTCTTCACTTTTTCCGTACAAGGATGATATCATTAAACTACTTTGTTTCTCCAAGAATTTATGAAAAAAGAAAAAGTGTACTTTAATGATGTATGAAGCTTACGTCGGATCCCGACAGATTATCCAATCACGAGTGCACCCCAGAGTCATGTATGGAGTAACTTTTTGTATGCCACGTTTCGGCTTTTAATTGGCCTACGAAATTTGAAGGAACTTTTGGTTCTTTTACGGTCCAAGGATGATATCCAAGGGTTACAAAACCTTGAGGGTTTCTAATTTCTTATTTTTTTTTGTTTCTTTTTCATTTTAAGTTAGAAACCTATAAATAGTTACAAGAAGCAACTAAGAAAGCATGACATACCAATGCTATAGACTCAGATGTGAGAATAGTTTTAAAAAAAAAAGGAATTGGACCATTTTTAACTTTAGAAGTGTTTTTATAGAAGATTATTTAGAAAATTTTTTGAAATAATCATTGTATCAATTTTCGTAATGTGATGTATATGAGATTTTTCTATGATATGATGTATGCGATATAAAAATGTGGTTATAAAAATAAAAAAGTGATTAACAGACGTGTCTGGAATACAATTAAGTAAATAATTTTTTACACACAAAGAAATCTAAATTATTTTCATTGCATAGGGTCATGTGTTATATAGAATAGTATTTTCCTAAAAATAGATGGTCCCTCTATTATATAGATTATTTTCTTTTGACACTTGTTGTAAATTGATATATTTTATAGAAATTTTTTGCCAAATGAAGACTATGTAAAGAATTTTTAACTGAAATTTGAGGGATGCCAAATTAAATCAACGACTTAATAGTTTTATAAACAATCATCCTACCTTACTTTTATCCAAGGTTTGTTAGGACACAGAGTAAGAGATGAGCTATTAAAATTAAACTTTGTCTACAAAAATTCAAAAATTTGTATGCAAAGTTTCCTAAATTAAGCAGTTTGGTGACACCTCTATTTTTTTTTTTTCCCATACTTACCCTATGCTTTAAGGCACAAAATAGAAAAAGCCCATTATCTAATTCATGCGACGTGGATAGAATTTGTGCATATATCAAATTAATGATCATGTAAGTGCATAGGATGTATGTTACTCATACATATCCTAGTTTATCCCTCTTCCAAAAAGATACAGAGCCATGCAAATGCATGCACGGGTTAAATCTAGTCTTAACTTATTTTTGCCAAAAAAAAAAAAAGATTACACGAGAAATAAATCTAATTAGCTTTTTCAGGCTGTTTTTTGGAGAACTTAACATGAAGAAGGTCAAAAAAGGGTCATCAGTATGCTCACCAATATATTATTTCTCTTCTGGGAATGTAGCAGTTACATTTTATGTACCAAATATAAAGTTGGCAATTTACGTTTCTTTATGACTGCAGTACTACTTTGTTTAAAACAGCATATGTATGATACAAGGCTTCTTTTATTTTGCACCCGGCACTCGACAAGAGGTGGGATGTCTATTTAGTTGTGTGAAGGATAGTATTTTCTCTTCTTAAGGGACGTAAAGTCAATATTCTAAAAGTAAAGTATGAAAAAATTCATTTGAGAAGAGGGGGTTTTGAACAATCTTTCCAAAAAGAACATAGGAAACACTGACGTGCTTGTACCATTATTCCAAGCTGAAACCTCTCACCCCAGTAATCAACAGAGATTGGATCGTACAATAAATCACTATTCACCTCTCAATTCTTATTCATTATCACTTCCATGCCTTTTAATTGGCCATCATCACAAGAAGATAAAGCTTGTGTAAAAATTGTATGTGCACACGTATTTGTCTGGATAGCAGTTTATTTGGATGATTTATTTAAGATAATTACTGTAATATTTTTTGTGAAGTGATATATGTAAGATAAAAAGATGATTGGGAAGATAAAAAGATTATTGAAATTTGTGAAGTAAATTATTTAATCTCAAACCATCTCAATCCAAACACATATGAGTTTTGTTTTTATATAGTGATGATAAATGTCTTATATTACTAGTCTCCGAACTTTAGGAGTCAAGAGTTTGCTGCTTGTTAGCGAGATTATACACGATAATTCCCAATTAAAGAAGACACACATTTTTTTCTCCTTTTCGAGATGAGTTTTGTTTTATATATTGATGATAAATGTCTTAAACGTTACATAATTTCGAGACGTTGGTAGCAGTTTTTGAGATTGTGTTGATTTCTGTTACTTTGATAGAGTAACAGCCAAATAATATGAAGAAATCCCGAACATGCAATATACTCGAATTGAGTATGATTTAGATAAGTTGACAATTAGTAGTAAAAGGTCTCTAGCATTGTTGCAACATAATAGGACTGAAGCTAACTTTGGTGGAGCTCAAGTGGATTCATTTAATCTACTTGTGTACATTACTAGTCCCAAAAAAAAAATTAAGTTACCTAAAAAAATCCCCTGTTACAAAAAAAATTAGGAAAAAGTTACCTCATGTAGACAACTTAAAGATGAATACAAGGAATTGAAAGATACTTCCAGTTCCAGTTCATGACTCAGATTTAAGTACTCATCAGTGTAATACCAATGTAATATTAGCATAAGCAATAAAAAGAAACAGGGAAGTCTTATTGGCTTTTGAAACATTTCATCAACAATTAATTCATCTCGTTACTCAATTAATCAGTTATTAAATGTGATAAAATGGGAGAATGTAAGCATATATTTTCTAGTAAGTATTGTTTCATTAAAATGTAACTCCTCTCTTGTATTCTAGATTACAATTAATGGTACAAGCATGCAAGCAGTGGTGGAGTTAGGATCTAAAGTCAAGAGGGACAATTGTCTATTACTGGACAATATAAGGATTGGATTGAGAACCAACTATATTGATGGTAGTTGGAGTTGGTCAACTTCAAAACAACTATCTTGGTACTATTAGTAACTACAAAATGCAAAAAATACCTCATTTCTTACATAATATGATGTATTATATTATTAATTGATAGTTAGCAAGAAGTGACTAATCTTAAGAAATCTTAGTGTGGCCAATAAATTTGTCAAACTATCCAAAGTTACTTAGTGAAATTCTCAAATATGTATTTCCTTGAAAAGCAAAAGTTAGAATTAGCATTTTCACTCATTTTATTAGTTAGTTGAATAACTAATATTAGTGTTTTACAAAATTATATGCATAATTAGTGAATATTTTATTGCAGCGTGTTCAATATCCGAAATAAGATACACAATTACAAATCATACAAGGGTGAGTTGATAAATTAACCAAATAAAAGAGTAATGATACAAGGTAATTCAAATTTAGTAACAACAGAAATAATCTAAGAAATATTTTGTCATGCAGAAATATTCCAAGTGTATTTTTCTTTGTTCTTCTTTTCCCATAATTAGCTCTTTTCTCTCTTAAACACATTAAACATAATTGGTTATCCCTTCCATATTACTCTCAATCTAATATATATAGTTTTATTGGACTTTTTATACATGTATTATCTTCTTTCATATTTTGTTGAATTTTGCTTCACTTGTTTCTTATTATACATGGGATTTTGATTAAT